GGAAAAAGCGATACAGGGGAAACGAAAATTCCGTCCCCCCCGGGGACAAAACGGGGATTTTCCTATATCTTGGTCAATTTGAGTGCTTTTTGGACGCTATTCCGTTACTAAAAGTCCTGCAGCTTGTGCCAATCACACGGGGAAAATATGAGACAGGGGACACGAAATTTCCGTCCCCCTCCGGAGACGAAACGGGGATTCGCCCACATATTGATCGATTTAAGTGCCTGTACTCTTCACGGTTGGTAGTCGACACATCATCACTAGCCCAACTCCGAGAACTTCCTCTTCGCAATGCGTTCGCGCCCTCTTGAGCATACTTATCTCTCTTCCTCCCTCTCCTCTTCCTCCTCCTCCTCCCCGTCCTCCCCCTCCTCCCCGTCCTCCCCCTCTTCCTCTTCCCCTTCCTCTTCCTCTTCCTCTTCCTCCTCCCTCTCCTCCTCCCTCTCCTCCTCCCCATCTTTCTTCTCCCCCATGCTCTCGTCAAGCGTCCGACTAGGCATGGGGTTGGGAGTAGGCGCCACTGGAGACTCGTCCGAAGATATGACCGGAACGATAGCGCCGGTCAATTGAGTCCCAAGCGTGCGTCTCCCAACGTTCTCCTTTCCCGACTTCTCCATCACCTTGCCAACCAAGTCGGGGTACACCTTCGCTACCATGCAGTCATCGTAGCAGCCTACTCGGCAAGTCGAGCAGTAGCACGATGCGCCCCGAACTCGCAACTTCCAAGATCTGGTGAAGTTCTTGGGGGCGGTCCATTTCCTCGCCCAGGACTCGTCTACCACCCACTTCCTAGCCGTCAACACCTTACCTCCGGTCGCTTCCACCCCAGAATCGTCTGTCTGCACCCCCACACTAGTAGCCCACACAAGACTACAAGTACCCTGCACAGTCTGCTGCTCCTCCCCTGTTCCCGTGAAAAAGTACAGCTTGGCACTTCCAGGGATCCCCGTCAGATCTATCGGTAGGCAAGGAATTTCTTTGGGGCCAAACTTCCTGACTTCGAAGCTCCTGATCCGGTAAGGGGACCGGGTTGTGAAGTGGCCTTCACGCGCCTTGTCCGCCTTCGCGGCGTAGCCTAGCAGAATCTCCTGCGCGACGTCGACGTCGGGGATACGCGTGCCATACATCTCCGCATTCCGAAGTAGGCGCTTCATGTGCGCCCCGATGCCATCATGAGTGCCTTTGAAGTGAGAAGTGACGGCGAAGTTGTGCGAAATGCGGACACCCAGCCTGTTGAGGCTCTGTGCCACCGCTCGAAAGTTCCGCTTACCCTTGTACTGCTTGCCGCACCCGTCCGTAAACATATGCACTCGTGGGGCCGCACTCCCAGCGGTGGCAGCAGACTTCGGTCCCGTCGTGTAGTGCGCAATAACGACCTCCATCGCTGCGTGATAGAAGTCGAAGTCATGGTTCAGATCGCTGGACAAACACATCCAAGCGTCCGTCTCGTGCTCCCCACGGTCGTCGGGGCTGTGATGTACAAGGGCCACCATCATGGTCGTTGTTGGTGCGGTAGCACATGTCAGCACCACGCGCGCTTCGTGCCTCCGGAGCGCGCGAGTGTTCGCCGCGTTGACCGCCGCCTCCTTAGCTGCTGCGTGGTCTGCAGCGCTTACCCCCAGCATTACCCGTACTCGCTCCATCAACACGTGGTCCTTCTGGATCAACTCCCGCGCGCTAGACCGGCGCTCCTCCGAAGCCTGCGTACATCTATCAGGAGTTGTTGGAGTCGGGGGAGGGTGTGTGTTATATTCATTCAGCAGGAGTGGGCCAACAACAAATGCCACACGTAGAAGAGTGACTGCAGCAAGTACAACAGTGATTCCATGCAACTTCTCCTGCGTTTTCTACGCTAACATCACGAAGTCGTGGAATGGAGATCAACCTCGGGAGCACGTGCAACAGAGGGCCTTGCGTACCAAAATTCAAATACTGTATAAATTTAGAGCGGCACGAATTGGCGCCAAGAAGTACAATTGTAGTCCAAGCATTTCAACAGCACTTCAGCAACCCAAAACATCACCTGTTCCCCGCGCGAAGCCTCTGGGGTAGCCCCGCTTCTCGTCCCGCCATCGTGAGCCAATGCTAGAGGGTCGGAGAGAGCTGCGTCCGCCCCCTTGCGCTTCCCCTTGCCCGCAGCAGCAGCAGCAGCAGCAGCAGCAGCGGCAGCCTGTTGGTTACCGCGCTTTGATGCTCGTTCTTGGATGGCTTCAGCATGCTCTCTACCCTTTTCGCGGAGCTGAACTTCATCAGCAACAACAGAGGAAAACTTACTGCCAGCTGCCTTGGTGGTACCCTTCTTTAACAGCCAGGAGGTTATTTAGAAGTATCCCGCGGTTGTGCTTCCTCCGGTGCTGCCTTACTCACCCTTATTTCCCCGCGGACGTGGATTATGCGGTCTACAAGCATGAGACTGCAACGAGCCACGGCCAGGCCCGAGTCGGCACGGCCGTAGATGTTGGAGTTTAGGGCTGATGACCTCGAGAGTGGTGTCCTCCGTATGTAATTCGACCAAGCGGAGTCGATTGCCGTGGAGAATGAAGCATGAGTCGTCAATGTTGATGGTGAAACAGGATGCGCCGCATCGCTTATCTTGAAAAATGTATATATGGACCCTAGCTACTGTCGGAGACAGAGGCCGGTGCCTTGGCAGTAT